CCTGAGCAGCAAAATATTTGAATACATTTGGATTTGGCATATGGTATATGAATGCTTATAAGATGGTCTTTTAATGCAGTGTTTATTCACACATGTCAAACTGTATTGCATTTATTATATGTCATGTATCAACACCCTATGGCAGGCAGACATACCATAAAACTGATCTCTGTTGTCTAGTTGAGGAATATGCAGAGTTTCTACAGGCATGCTAAATCTCTGGTTTGGGAAGAAAAAATAGTATTGTGCTCCTGAATGGTTAATTTCATTTTACTGGCTGTTAGCAACATCAGAGAAATGTTTTTCACAAGCATAGACCTAACATTTCTGAAAAGCCTAGGAAGAAAGGGATTTTGTGATTATAAACCCTTTGTCTCAGAAGGTTTGAGTCAATTGGTATTTTTCTCATGAAAGTATAAAAATAAAAAGTATTAGGGCTTGTCTTGAGTTGCTCCTTCTGTGATCATGATGGTGTGCAGGTATTTATGTCTGCTTGTACCTGAAGTACATAATCTAAGAATTATATTGCACTAATCTCTGGGATGTCTTGCATGAAGATGTGGGGGTTTGTACATACAGAATTTGCTCATTTCTTGCAAAAAGAGCTTTAGAAAGAGCTGTATCCTAAATTTCCCTCTTAAAAAAAGTCTGGTAGAAGGTACAAGTGTGGTAACACACATATCTGCCTATACTTGATTGGGTATCTATTTTGTTTATCATTCACGGCCTGAGAACAAGACAAGTTCCCAGTGCTGACTCTGGCCTGGATTCTTATAATATGAACCTTTTTGGGAAGTGGTGAGAGCTTACACAGTCTGTTTCCTTTCTCTCTTGTTTCTGCAATCAGCCCCACTCTTAAGATCGACACATATGTTCACACTGGTGCATGCACACTTCTGCTGTTGCAATGCAGGAGTAACATAGGAGCAAGAATGAGGGGATGGAAATTCAGGCTCACAAAACCAAATCAGCAGCAAATGTAGCACTGGCAAATGTGTCATCTGTTGTCCAGTAATTTTTTTTTTCCTCTTATATATTGTAAAAGTGCACAGAAGGCTTTAAAGGTGACTGTAGTTAATCTCTTCAGCAAGTTAAAGAATATGGTCTTTGGATAATTACAAGTTTTTGGTCACTAGGCTTCAAGATCAAATACTCAACCAGAGTTTGAATGTGTTCTTAGGTATGTGTTGGGGTCCTCCCACTGAGAGCCATGTATCAGTTGTGCTTAAGAGTGGGGAAAAAAGTATTACTCCAAGTATAAAAAACTGCAGGAGTGCTTTGTGCTTACAAGTCTGGGGTATTGTTTAGTGTTAAAAGTGACAGACAAGTGTCCTTTCATTTGGGGGGATTATAATGTTTTGTTTTTTTTCCCTGCAATGTGCTGCTCCGGAGTTCAGCAGCATGCTGTAGAATTTAAAGCAAGTATAAAAACTGTCTGCCTTTACAATTACAAATTTGAGTTTGTCCTGGTTTTGTGGCCTTTTGGAGCAAAGGGAAAGCTATACATAAACTAAACGAAGAAGGTTACTTCCAAGCTGCTTATTAATCTCTCCTTGAACCTTCTGCCTTTTAAACAACAGATAAGGGACTCTGCTGTTGTAATGCTAAAATACATAAATAAATTCTCAGTTTTATGGGTTTTGTTGTATGTCAGTTCCTAACAGAATTGAGTGAAATTTATAGTAGATTCTGTGCCGTGGAATTAATTTACATTGTTCTGACTCCTTACCTGAAAGAAGTGCTATAAAAAAAGAGTTGCTTTGAGCCACAGTGTGCCTTAATAGGATGGAAAACAAAAAGATTGCAGTATTGATGGCAGTTACTGCTTATCTTGGTGTGAATAAAGCAACTAGTCTTGGAAATCCTGCACAAATGCAGATCTTTTCCCCAGAAAATGCACAGTTTAGTTTGAATGAATTTGAAATGGAGAAATTTTAAATGGAAAAATGTGAGGCTCTTGACCTGATGCAATTGGCTAATATGGACCGTTGTTCCATTTAAGGTAAAAGTCCTTGGTACCAAAATACTGATATGGTAGGATCCATTGCATTTCTACATGATGCCTTGTAAAGTTGCTGCATCAGTCTTAGCATCTACATTTGGTGAGGCCTGGAGGTTTACAAAAGTATGCTCTTTGGGGATTAATGCATTCAGATTAGGACAAGGTGTATAACCTTTTTCAACAGTTGCCTATTGTGAGAATATGATTTCTCTATATATTTTGTACTTAAGTGTTGCCAGCACTGTGTAAAAGTCCACTTTCCCATTGCTTGGTTTATCTAGAGGATTGCTATTGTTACAGAAATGTTGTTACAAGCATCTTGTTACTTCTCATTATGAAGCCACTACTGTGCTGTCAGGGGCAAAATCCAACCGAGATGGAGATAGCTACATGTTTTCCTGAAGAGTATTATGATATCCTGCTCCCTCTGGTGGCTGCTCAATTCAAGACCCATAATTAAGATAAAAAAATACAGTATTTCCCAGAAATGGAAATGCTATGTGCCCCTCTTTGCTCCCTTCAGCCAATTCATCTTTTAAAAGCTGTGGGATGGGGGTAAGAGGAGGGAGGAAGTTCTGCTTTGGGAGGTAACTGCATTGGAAGCTTCGAAGTAGTTCGAAGCAGCAAAATGGGTGTTAACTTTCCACTCATTTCTCAACAGCATTAAATGTTTATACTTAAATTTTTTTCTAGTGAGAGCACACTTTTCAGTTGAAGTCATTCTTAGCAACAAGATACTTTGAAGAAGCTTGCAAAATAAACAGAGAAAAACAATGTCTCTGGTGTGAGCCTGTTTCTTCTGGGCTTTCATATTCAAGAGATGTGTGACATTACTTGAATTGGTGCTTGTGTGTAATGCCAAGCCAGCATCTAGAACTGCAGAATTTAAGCACTAAATTGAAACATTCAGCTCTTTGAGTCTCTTGTTACATTTGATACTAAATCAATTTTTTAAAGATTAAGTTCACAATAACCTTAAACAGGAGCAGTTTTATTTCTACTTTAAAATGTTAACTGCATGCTTATAGAATTTTATTTGCCTTTGTTCTTTTTCGTAAGACCAGTGTACATGTGGCTGATGTGCTTTCACTATGTTTAGTGGTAAATAAAATATGTGAAAACAAAGGCAATGTTTCCCGTTTCAACATTTCAATTAAACAAAAAGGAAAAGGGAGTTGCATTGACTTCCAGGACGAGCAGGTTGTGGCAGCGTGGCCAAGCAGTGGTGGATCTACTGACTGGATGTAGGCTGAGGGGGAGAGCTCCCAGATGCTATATTTACATGTGCTCTGACTTCTTTTCTTCCTTCTCACTGTTGTATTCACACAATGTTTTAGAAGTGGAAAGATTTTTGTCTAAATACTGTTAGACTGTGGCTGCATATGTAACAGGGAACATTGGTAACAAGCCACACATAGCAAACAGATTTCAGTCGGAAGTCCTGCCTAGTTTTCTAAAGTGCTCACAGGTAAGGAAGCTACATGAACAAACTATGAGGATGGAAGGAGCCCTTCTGGGTGTGTTTGAACAACTGTTGCTGTAACTCTGGTTTGAGCTGTACCATCCTGTTTCCAGCTATCAGCATAGTGTATGGTGTGATGAAATGGAGATCACTGTGAGTCAGAAACACAATAAATTATACATTGTGTGGCTATGACAGCTTGGTGGGAGCACCTACAAATAGAAAAAGCATTAGATACTTCTTTGAGCAGTGTTGATATGCAGTAATTTTTTACTGCTTCAATGAAAACATAATCAAATGAGCACTTAAAATGTGGAGAGGAAAATATTTCTTTTGTACATGAAATAAAACTACAGAAACAAATGTGTGTTAAGAGAAATTTTATTTCAAATGCAAGAGCTTTAAGCTTAAAAATACAATCTGAGTATTTTTTAATTTTTTTTTTAGGAAGGCTCTTATTCTTCTGTAATGTCAAGTTTTTTAGTGAAGTGTTTACTAACACAAGAAAAATGGCCTTCTGTTTAAAATACACACAGATGGAATCAGAAGCAAAATTACCACGGTCAGGGGAGGTTATATATAGCTGTAAGTGTATCCTTCTAATTGCACGGTGGATCTTTCCATTATAAATTATTAAAATCCCCTCTGATTTTAGCATATATGTATTTTAGGGGAATACAAATCTCAATTGCTTCTTTCAGGTAGTTCAAACATTCATGTGATAAGAGATATTCTGGACTTAACAATGTAAGTGGTAATATGTGAACTCTAATAACACAATAGAGTGGTTATTTTGTAATGCTTGCATGATAATCTTAACTCTTATGAGAAGTGTTTTATACTTTGCATATCAGAGCTTTCAAAAATAAAACTTTTCGAAATGTATCTAGAGTTGGCTTTAGCAACTGATAAATTGTTCAGCAAAATAAGTCTGAGTTGATGTGATTGTATTGTTTAGATTTTTATTTGCAGGTCAATCTCATCAGTGCAAATAAGCTAAGTGAAATGGATGATAAACAAAACCCTTTCTAAAAGCACAGAAAGGATCAGTATCTAGAACACCCAGAAACTGAAGAGTTAATGATGGGGCTGCACTGGATTCAGTGTATTTGCAGATGTTGCTGCAACCAACTGCTGATTTTATTCCCATCCTGTCAGGGAACTCTGCCAGCTGTGATTCATGGAATGATTTTTTTGCGCTGAGTAATCTGTGGTTTTTCCTTTTTTCCTCTTCCCTCTCCTTATTTTTACCCTAAAGTCCTATTCATTTCAGCTAAAGGGAGGGGAAGCTTCCAAAGCATTAATACAAAACATTACATACACTGTGTTTTGACTAGAGGAATTTTAACAAACATTAAACTTGCAGTAATTTTACATAGTCTCAGACAGAGTAGTCCAGCAGAAAAACAGTTGTATGACAGAATTAGCTTTTGGTTTTGCTAGTCATATAGTGTCACAGTTCTTTTAAGACTTCTGTACTAGTATTGCTAAAGAACATCCAACTTCTGTGCTGATATTATGCCTCCTTTCTCACAGATCGCTCTGAAAGAAATAAACCAGACTGCCGCTCTTCAGGGTAAGAACCGTATTTCTGTATTTATTCTTCCCTTCTTTTCCTTTTTTTTCTCCTTATTTTTTTCCTTGTTTGGGTTGAACTAGGAAATTGTCCAGAAAAATAAAATGCCATTCTTCTACTTCTCTGTTTTGGTAACAGTAATGAAATACCAAAATAATTCTGTTAAGGGCAATGTTTTTATATTCTTTACAGGCAAAATTTTCCAAGGAATTAACGGGGCTTATTAAACTGTAATTCTGCGCACTTCAAATCCAAAGGCTTGTTTATGTATCACATAGAGGGTTGTTTGGTAAAACTGTGGTTTAAGACAAGAAGCTCTTATGACTTTTGCTTCTTTGGATTGTTTGCTTCTGTAACAAGAAAAATAATTCTTGGTTCAGTCAAGAATAGCAACACTTTATTATTTATTCCATTAAACTCATAACTATCATACCTAAGGGTTTAATACAGAGAGAAGCAAACAAATGTGTTGTAAACAAAACAGATGTGCACATACATTTTGGATTTAGAATTTCCATCAGCAATTCCCATGAACTTTTCAGATATTGATTTGCAAGGCCACATCTTCCCTTTAGCTTCTGTAGTTCTCCTTCTTCTCCTCTTGTTTTTAAAAACAATCTCATTCTCTTTTGCCTTATTTCTACGCCCTCCCTTTCAACTCTCCACCAGGGAATAGGATCTCAGCCGTATGCTGTGGTGGATAATGAGATTTTAATGAAGTAAAGTGATAGAGCAGACCAGCTAACACTGGCTCGTCCACTCCTTTTTGAAAAGCCTTTCCAAAGGATGCCCCTGGTGTCCAGCCTTCTGACATGACATGGCCTTTTCATTTGATTTTTACAGTCTGATTTTTTTCTTTGTTACATTTTTATGGTACAGTGGTGTAGCTTTTATAGCTAGAAGAACAGAGGGAACTGTAGCCTTTTCTTACAGCACAGCTGATGGGTTGTATCTGTTGTGTGATGTGATGGAAGAGAGAATGCTTTTCCCTTCCCTCCCATATCCGCAACAGCACTGTAGCTGTTTCCAGCAGTGTGTTTAAGTTGCAGGGGAGTATTGCCTTTGTCTTTGATTACCTACATTACTTATGTCTGCTTAAAACATTACTGTATGTCCTGGTTTCCTTCTGTAATTAAAAATACTTGGCTTTTTTCTTCAAAATGATGCAGTTACATGCAAGTCTACATGTCTGAAGTTTTACTAGATCATGTCATATTACAATAATGTCAAATCCAAGTCATTGTCAAAAGGAAATCTGATTTTATAAAGATCTTTAGTTTAAGCTTGAAGCAGCTTCAGCCTGTTTCCCCTTCTTCTGGCTGGTCCTCCCCACCAGTATCATTTTGGTCTGGAGTATTTTAGAAGTTCTAATTTGGAGCCAAAAGCAAAGTGAAACTTCTGATTTTTTTTTTTTTTTTTTTTTTTCCATGGAACAGGAATTTCACGTTGGACCAGCCCTCACAATAGAACATTGCCCTCAGTTGTCTGGGTTACAGATTCCAAATTCTCATTTGGAAAACACAGGGAAATTAGCAGTATGATGTAGGTGGCTCATAATGTTCAGCAAAAAGCAGCTCTCAACAGTCTTTTATTCCAACTAGTAGCGCATGTGCTTTCTAACCATGTATTATGTATCTTCTGCTCCCTTTTCAATCTTGCTGGCCATCATGTCATGATTGTTCTGCTTTCCAGGATGAGCTATGAGGAAGAAAAGTCATTGTTTAAAGGGTAGTGTGGTTTTATGCGCACCTCGCTGCTGCTTCTAGGTTAGAGCAGGAGCAGCCTGCCTTATTTAGATGATGTACTGTGCTAATTGATATTGCTACACTCTGTGGTTCATTTCTCATTATGGTTGGAAGCATAACCCTGTGGTGACAAATTGCTGGGTCAGATTCTTATCCCCAATCTGGCCGTATCATGTCTGGGAAAAGAGCTGCAGGCGCATGAAGACTAGAGCCCCTTGCTGTAAGAGCTGAGGGAAAACTAAATAGTGAAGTGTGCAAGACTTTAATTAAAGTGCAAAGCACAATTCTTGTGTAACATGGGCAGCATTTCAGAGCTGTTTGAGTTCCATTTGGGACAGTTTTATGGCTTATGCCATTTTATAATGAGCTACTGCACACACAACACTTTTTTCTCTGGGGACAGTTCATGACAAAGGAAAAAGAAAATAAAGTTGCTCAAGGGCATCTTGTCTACTTTCTTCTTAAGCTACATGTGCTGGAATGCATCTCCTAAAAGAACAATGTGCCATCCCGTTCATCCTCTAAAGTGGAACAAAAATGATCCTGCAGGTCTTTGTACTTGGACTTAAGGTCTAGTAACAAGAATTTCTGTACTAGAATTCCTATAAAATAGTGGAGATGGACATGAGAATAGTAGGTGACCAGATAAAGAGCTATCCAGTGGACCTCAAGAAAGGTAGATATCTTAAGATGAAATAGTGGGTGTAGGTGTTCCCAAGAGAGAGCCAGAGAAGTAGAAGTTTTTTCATAAAAAGCCCTGGTGAGTTCTTGCCCAGCAGTCTTGATTAAATTAATCATAGATGTGGAACACTGAGATAAGAAGAGTTAAAAAAAAAAACAACCAAATCCAACCACCACCACCACCTCCTCAGGCTCTGTAAGGTTAAGTTTTAGTCTGGAACACGATCAGCTTAATAAACACATGACAATATTTCTTGTGATTGCAGAGGTCTAAACTTGTCCTTTCCAACATCATGTTCTTACGTGTTTCTGTGTCTGTGTATTTCTAGATCAGCTTGTGCTTGAGTCTCCACAGTATGAGGGATAAAGTGCTCATATACAATGAAATAGGAACAGTTTTAGAGCATAGCTTGGACATAATTCATTTGCAGTGAGAAGCATATAAAAACCTGTTCTAGATAGAACAGTATAAAAATGACATTTGATATAGTTCTTTTTATTATAAGATGATACTATTTAGATAATGCAGGGTGAAGCATGTTTATAGCGGTATCAAGATCTGTGGCAAATATTCTGGTTATGTCACTAGCCTAACAGATGTTTAGTGTGGAAGAAATGCTGCAAGAAGGTAAAGTATTCTGAGTGGTGATACTGGGATCTAGCACGACACTGGGAAGACATTTGGGGAGTGGGTGAATCAAAACGTATGAGTAATGTTTTAAAAGGAGGGAAATGGATACTAGATAATGCTCACAAAATTTGCATTAATGCACATTTGTCTCTTTTGGCAATTAGCAACCATCTGGCATGCAGGAGAGTTTAGATAGAGAGGAGAAGCAGAACAGGGCCTGTGGATATCTTTTTCATGCACTGATTTTTTTGTTAAATATTAGCACATTAGTAAGATTAAAACAGATGGTCTCTGAATCTAAATAATGCTTATTGCTATGTTAAACTTTTATCAAAAAATGTTTAATTTCATGACCTAATACTAACCATCCTTTAATGGCTGTATTTCAGACAGTGTTAAAGATATGTCTGTACTGGGAACTGTGATCTGTAATTATCATTATTTCTTGATTTTACTGTCAGGTCATGCAGTGTTGGCTCTAATAGCTTCAGGTCATGCACTGCTGTAGCACAGGTCAGTTAGGTCAAAAGAAGCAGCCCCTTTAGTCTTATGCTTTTAAAGGTTTTCCAACTAAAAATTATATGATGGGAATAGAACAGAAGATTTCAGGCATCCACATATTTGCAGCTAATCTCTGAACATCAGTAAAGCTCATAGAAGGAACTAGATTAATTTCATTATGCTTTTGGGTTTTTTTTTTCCCTTTGGGGTAAGGATTATGAATGAAAAAAATTCCTGAAACACAGTCTTGTAATGTGATACCATTCGCTGTAGCTGCCCTGACCTTGGAGATGAGAGGATGAAGGTAGCTAAACACTGCAACAATTTATTGAGAGACTTAGTAGCATATCAATCACCTGAAGAGATTTTGATTTCTAAAATCTAGGAGTCTACTGTGAGAGCTTGCCCTCAAATTGGGGAGGGGGAAGAAAATAATTAGTTTGTTTCTAGAAATAGTTTCTAGGTTTTACTGGCATATAGTCTGCCTGCTGATTGCAATGTGCTTAAGTTCTTTAACAGCTGGTTGCCTTCATTTGATTGAACTAAATTGGTCTTTTTTATTTTAAATACATCAAGTCAACAATGCAAATAGACACAACCCTTCTTTTGTTCCTTTATAAAGGAGCACTTGAAGTGGCTGATCAAAGAGTCTACGGATCCCTTTAATGAGGATCTGGTAAATGAAGCTATCATTTTTATGAATGGCATTTTGTATCTTACTTTGGGTTTATTTTTTCTTATACAGCAGAATGCCATTAGTGAAGGCTTCTCTGCATTTCTGTATTTCTTCTGCTGTGTAATGTTGATCTTGTGAAGTTATATTTAATAAATATTACAGTAATGGTCTAATTATATCTTAAGAATGTGAAGAAAGTGAGAGGTGGTCTTGTACCCCTACTAAGGACGTGTACTTCTCTGTTGTGCCTTAGTCAAATCAGCAGTGTGGAGAGACTTTTGATGCTACTGCTGCTTCTGCACTGAGAAATCACAGAATGGTGGAAACATTGGTGGTAAAGGACTTCTGCAGGTCATGTAGTCAAACAGCTTGTTCATAGGGGGGAAGATCAGGCCAATGGATGTCTTTCTAGCCAAGTCTTGAAAACCACCCTGGAGAGGGAGATTGAGCCCACTTATTTGCAGCCCACTTACAGACTGCTTGTCTGTCTTGTCCTAACTTTATTTCCAAATGATGATGCTGTGGGAGACAGTGTCAAAAGAATGAGTCTAAATCTAGCTCTTCAGTTCAAACACTGGACTACTTAATACCCACAAGGACCAGATTCATTCCCACAAACATTGTGAAATATAGTTTTTCATTGCTGTCATTCAAAAGTCTGATATTGTCCACTGGCAATGTCTGTATTACCCTGTCAATGCAGCTGTTCCACAAGCAAATGTCAGGCTTTTGCCCATCCACCCAATGTTATAGGCTGTAATACAGA